TTGTTGTTGCTGCTCTGTTTGGGTGCTGCTTGAACTCTGGCACTCCATTGGTGACTGAGCTGTATCCCAGCCTACACTGTTCTTTTAAGGAACTGGAACTGTCCACAGCCCCCAGCAGCCAGCAGCCTCCTTTCTTTGGTCGGCTTGATGACCCAGAGTTCTTTGAACTCAAAGTGCCATCTCCTCCTTTTTTCTTGTTTGCCAATCTCACCCTGTTTTTAATGCTGGAAGGCATATATTTACAGTTAATTTTTTTTTAAAAAATAGGCTAATTCTAATTTTGCTTTGTAAGACATTTATTTATTTACTTTTAGAATTTCACAACACTTTGAAATATTTAGAGATACTGTAGGGTGTTGCAAATAGAGGATTAGAAACCACTGTCACAGGTCTAAGAATGTACTTTGCCAATATGCAGCTTTCCCCAAGACAGCATATTATTGCTTTCCTAAATTCTTTTAAGTGTTCTCAAATATGCAATAAAATATTCTTCTAGCAGGCTTTATTCTCCTTCTGTACTCCTGAACAAAAAGATTTTGGGCAACATATTTGTTGTTTATTTATGTGTTGTTTTGGGTTAAGGTTATATTGTAGTGTGTTATTTTCTATTATATCTACACTACTTGCCAGAAGTCTGACTATGACTAAATGCTGAAAGATAACTCCTATTACATAAATTGGGCCCCAAATCATCAGGCGTGTCCAAATAGTGGCCTTATGGCCACATGTGGCCAAAGACAGCTATGAATACAGACTGCCCCCAAATCATAAACTCACTTAATAAAACATTATGCATTTTTTATAACTTGATGGCACAGTTTTTGAATGAAGACTTTGTAAATGAAAATATTATATTTCAGTGTCAAAAGGTTGAACATCCTTTTGTTCAACCTTTGTTATGGTGGAATCAAACCATAATAATTCATAATAAAGATTATTTATCAGTAAATATTAAAATTAATGTGTGATGCACAGAGATATGGACCCCAAAATTAGAGCATTTATTGTCCAGAAGTATAAAGTGTCATCAAATACTAATATAAATAGTAATTCGGAGGAAATGTTGATACATTTATTTTGAATAAAGGGGAAAAGGCTGTTTAACCTTTTTGCTAGACACTGAGGATCAATGAAATAATAACTGGATGAGTAAAGGATGTGGAAAAGGTCATTTGACAAAGGTGCAGAGTCAGATCAAACCAGGTATTCTAGAATGTGGGATGCCTAACCTGGCCAAAATAAAATGCAATATGTTGAGAAGTAATAATAGCAGAAGTAATGTACAGACACATAACACAGAGGTCAGAGTTCTTAATACCCAATCAGCGGTTCGAAACCTTCCTAAAGCTGCTACCTTTAATACACTTCCTATGTTGGGGTGACCCCCAACCATAAAGTTATTTCTGTTGCTACTTTATAACTGTCATTTTGCTACTGTTAGGAATTGTAATGTAAATATCTGATATGCAGGATATCTGATATGCAACCTCTGTGGGGGGGTCACAACCCATGGTTTGAAAATAACTGTTCTAACTGAAGAAGAGAGAGAGTGGTATTAAAATATTATATTTGTGACAATTATGGAAGTTGTATCTTTCTGCATATGTTACTCTTTTTCAGGACATCTGTAGATATTTCACTCACTCAGGAGACTAGTATGAATTAGAATTTTGGAGAGTCAATTCATTTGAAAAGTTCTATAATGATGATGTATTTCTTGGCACGTATTGCTAGCAAAGAGGAGACAGGCTGGGTCCTCTGCCAGAGGAGTTCGCCACTTCCGTTTTGGTTGGTTGGTAGTTGTTTTTTGACATTTTTCTTTCTCTTGGTATAACATTCCTTTTACTTTCCCAGAGGAAGCATACCATGATTACACCTGGCAGAGTCCATAAAAAAATCAAGTTTGGTGTGAGGCTGCCACTCTGAGCTCTCAGTCAAGTACAAGTCTAGCTTAAGCACGGAAAGATTTTCACAAATATCTTCTCAGCAGAATACTGCAAACCACCTGGCTGTGTTTCAACTTATTGTGAGAAGTGACAATCCTCTAAAGTAGAAGAATGTGTTCTCGACTTACATTTGCTCCATTCTGTTGAGAAAAAGTAATACCAGAGCAAATGCAGGCACATTGATTAAAAATGGAAAAAGTGAATTGAACAAAATCTATTTTTTCTAAATTACACATCATCTTACTGAAACCCGGAGAAATTAAGACAAATCAAAGCCTTCAACATGAGGCCCATGGCTTGACCACTCCTAACTCTATCGAGTAATGACAGCAGCCTCAGTGGGAATAAAGTCATGCTAGTCCAGACCAGCAAGAACTTGAAGACCTTGTTAACTCTACAGTAAACATACAAGGTGATGGGGAATGTTAGTGCACGCAGTTGCCTTCATTTGGAAGAACTGAACTAGATCAACTGTGAAGTTCTTTTCTGGGATTTTCAATAAATCATTCATGTCTAAGGTTCTCAATTTTGCCACAGATGTAGGGATAACTAAAAATTAAACACCCATACACTCATAATTATTCTGTTTAAAGGAAGTAAAAAGTAATATGCACATGCAACGAAGTTACCATCCTGGCTGCTGAGGTAAAAGTGATCTATTCCAATAGCATGATACTTATGAAAGGAATTCTTTTCTTTATTTCAAAGACGTAATACAACCCTTCCATGTACCTGTGTTAGCTTCTTGTCACTGTGACAAACACCCACAAGAAGTATTTCAAAAGGAAGGAAGATTTCCTTTGACTCATGCTTTGACAGTTTCTGTGCTTTGTCAGCTGGTTCTGGTGCTTTGAGTTTGGTGAGGCAGAACACTGTGGTGGATGGGCATTGTAGAGCAAAGCTGCTCACCAAGAAGCAGAGAGACAGGCTGGGGCCGAGATGAGGGAACTTTCTAGATCATGCCCTAGTTACCTTTGTCCTCCAAGTAGGTCCCACCTCCCGTTTTCTACCACTTCCTAACAATGCCACCCTGTTACAAATCCTTCAAGGGATTGGCCCACAGATGAAGTCAGATTCCTCAGGATCTATTTACCCCTCAGTGACTTGATCCATCACCCTGGAACCAAACATTCAACATGTAACATCATTAGGGATTATTTCATGCACAAAGTGTAACAGTGCTATGTTGGTGAAGGTTGTAGAGAATCGTTTGGGCTGAGGTACAATAACGTCCTCATTAGACTACTGTGGGGAGCTCATGCTGGAGTGACGTGTGACTGGTATTTATTCAACATGTAACTTTGGTAAATGAGAAATAATTGAGTGAATTGTTAAAACAGTAAATGCAGTCTTCTAAAAGGGCAAAAGTTTTTTTTAAAATATTAAATATTTGGAGAAGAAGAGAAAACTCAGGTTCAAGATCCTAGTCTTTAGAGGCACACATATTTTTTGGCATTTTTTTATTAATTTATTTTTTATATTCCAATCCCAGTTCCTCTCCCTCCTCTCCTCTCCTCCCACCCCTCCCACCTCCCATCTGCTCCTCAGAGAGGGTAAGGCCTCCCCTAGGAAGTCTACTAAGTCTGTCCCATCATCTCATTGAAGCAGGACCAAGGCACCTCTCCACCCCCACCCCCCTGTGGCAAGGTATCTCTCCATATAGAATGGGCTCCACCAGGACAGTTTGGAGGCACACATATTTTATAATTCAGAAATTTAAGTCACTTTAGAAAAAGATTAGACTGCATTTTATATAATTTCACATTTGAGGTCTTGAGCAGCAAGCACCATTTAAAGAGGTCCTCAAAGAAACAAATACTCACACAGTCTGCCAAAGGACACATGGTGGGCTAGAGAGATGGTTCATTTAGAGAGGTTTATTTCTCGGCATACACGTTAGTGCAAAATCCAGTTCCAGGGATTGGACTCTCTATTTTTGTCTTCAAGGGCTCTTGCATGCAACATCCCCACTTCACCACCCCACCAACCCTTACACCAGAAACCTTCCTTCTTCATCCATTCCTAGCTCTATCAATGATCAAAACCTGTGGATATGGGTCTGGAGAGAATCCTGAGGATTCTCTAAGATATGTCAAGGTACAGTGATTAAATTTTACCCATAAGAAACTTCAGTTCCTTGCACCATGTCTTGGTAACATGTATAGAGTGAAGATTCTAGCCTACTTTGGATAGAAAAATAAAACTCCCCCAAACTATACTTACCCACTTGCCAGGGCCTGGCTTGTATCAGTCCCACAATACAGAGGCTATTTATTCCGGACTGATGTCTTTAGGGCTGCAATTGGAGCCAGCTGAATGGTCCGGGGTCCATCGCTGAGTAGGTGAGGGCTGGACTGGACAGGGAAACTCTTAGCTACCCAACAGCAATAAAGATGAGACACAGGCATCTTGTCATTTCAGGAGGGCTCTCAGTCCATACTGGAAACTGGAGATTCTGGTTTATTCAAACATCCTTTTAAATAGCTTTCCAACAGTGGTGGGGGGGTGACTACAGAAGACATCTGCTATCATGTATAAAGCTAATATCAAATATATCCTTTAATCCTAGAGACACACCCAAACAGTCCCTAAGTATATAAACAAGCCCTCAGAACATGTGTAGGTGCACCCAGGGCCTAGGTCTGTTGTTAAGCAAACTAGGAGACATTCTCCACTGAGGTTAGGCCATCTGGTGGTAACCACCCAGCATCTAAAAGACAATGTGAGATTCAAGCTCCTGGGATAGAGTTTGAGGCCTGGATCTGAAATACCATAATTGATATTTTTTTGGCCCTGACACTCCCTCAGTAACAAACCACCAAAAATTGGACCCCTCTATTTTGCTTTTTGTTTTAGTCCGTTTTATATAGTAGTTAAGTACATTTTTTTTAATTTTAATTTTATTCATATTTTGGCAAGCTTTGCATCTGCACTATGCTCCCAAGAAGCAAAAGAGGTAGCCTTTGTTCTAAGTATAATACTTCCATTAGGCAAGGGTTGGGGGACTACAAGGGGGTGGTGTATCAGACACTCACCTAATTTTTTCATCCCCAGGTAAAAAGCCAAACCTGAAAGTGCACATCAACACCACCAGCGACTCCATCCTCTTGAAGTTCCTTCGTCCAAACCCAAATGTAAAGCTGGAAGGTTTTCTCCTGGGATATGGCAGCAATGTGTCCCCAAACCAATACTTTCCTCTTCCCACAGAAGGGAAAGTCACTGAGGCTGTAGTAGGTAAGGTGTTTGGGTGGGTGATAAGAGGTGCCAACTACAGCAAGATGCCCAAATGTAGAAGACGAGAAACAGTTCTTCTACATCTTCGGCTGAGCTCAATGTGGCAATACAAATCACCTTTGTAATTGCTGTAACCCAAAGCACAGTTCTTTATGTTAAAGCTTTTTATTGTATGAAGAAATAATTGTCTTAACTGCTATTGAACCTTTAATGCTGCCCACATAATTGAATACATAAGGAAAAAAGCAGCTGAAATATTGGGCCTTATTAATGTGTACTAATTTTCCTTCTTGTTATCTTGACTTTCTTCCAGTAGAAGATGGCCACTATAGATTTTTGGAAAGAGGTGTTACCTTTAGAAAGAAGAGAAAACATATTGCAATTAAAATTTTTAAGTAATTCAGTAAAGGCAATTAAAGTTTAATATGAATTATGAAATCATGCATTTCTTTGTAAATGTTTTAAAGATATAAAATTAGAGTTTCAGGATGTGAACTATCTTCTTGCTTTCTCTGTGGGGAAAAATGTAAATAAAATCCACTTAAGGGATTAAATGCTTTGACAAGGATGATTCATGGTGAAAACTTTGAAAGTATTGGGTGAGATTTGATTCCCTGCTAAGATGTTGTTTAAGAGGCAGTCTCTGAACTTTAAAAGCATAATCCTATGTTCCAGCACTTCATATTGACTTTTGCATTTTCGAGTGTGCAATGAGAATGTCAAGATGAGCTGACTGTGTTCTTCTGCCTCTTGCTTTTCCCAGAGAAATTTCTGTTGCTCTTTAGTGCCAGCCAAGATGTAATACTGTTAATTAATGAGTAATTAGAGATAGTATTATCAAGTCTTGAGTAACTGGATATTACATAAGAAAAACCACTTAAAGCAAACCTAAGAGCTGATTATCCCCCGTGCTCTGAGAATTAGGCTGTATAATAATAATATAATTAGACAAGTATAATAGCCAACCCCATGTAGAATTTGAGTTTGAATGTTTGTAAATATTCCTTAGTGTCTATCCAGTTTTCACTATGGGAAGTGACTACAACTCGAGTTCACTCTCACACTGATAGCAGATTTGCTTTCTCCCTTTTCATGAAGTGTTAGGATTAACATTTTATTTTTATAGACATTTTTGTTATTTAAATGGAGAAATTGGCCATTTGTCAGCTTCCTTTATAGCAGGCGAAAGCATTGAACAGTAAGGTGGCAGAAGTCAGATTACTAATGAACATGTGTGCCAAATCTAAAAAAAATTCCCACATAAATTTTCTAACCTTCCATTGTTTTTTTATATTTTTTTAAAGATTTTATTTATTATGTATGCAGCATTCTGCTTCCATGTATATCTGCACACCAGAAGAGGGCACCAGATCTCATAAGGGATGGTTGTGAGCCACCATATGGATGCTGGGAATTGAACTCTTGAACTCAGGACCTCTAGAAGAGCAGCCAGTGCTCTTAACCTCCGAGCCATCTCTCCAGCCCCCTTCCATTGTTTTAATAATGAAGGTGCATCAAATGGACTGGGAATCCTTTTATGTATTATTTTCACCCCTGGCTTTTTATTGTGTACATTTCCAAAATTAAGGGAATAATGTTGATGAATGTCTTACAGTACTGCTTGAATACAATATCACTGTACTAATGTTGTTCTGTGTGTTCATATGTATGGCTTTCTGGAGTGTTTTAAAGCGTAAAGAGATATACTTTTTTTTTTGATTTTTCCAGACAGGGTTTCTCTGTGTAGGTTTGGAGCCTATCCTGGCACTTGCTCTGGAGACCAGGCTGACCTCGAACTCACAGAGATCTGCCTGCCTCTGCCTCCCAAGTGCTGGGATTAAAGGAGTGCACAACCAATGCCCAGCTTAAGAGATATACTTTTATCAAGTATGCATCACTAACAGATAAATATTTTAATAATTCCATACTTTTATTATATTTAATAAATAATCCTACAGTATCAATTTATATCTGGCTCATACTTAAAATTTCTCATGTGGTATCATAACTGCCTTTTTAGTACTGATCTGTCTGTTTGAATCACTATCAAATAAAGTCCACTCATTGCATTAAAGTATGGATCTTAAATCTCTTCCTTCCCTTTTAGAATATCATTGGAACACCTTTTGGGTAGGCTGTCCACAGCCTGTATTTAACTGACTGCTTCCCTTATGTGTTTTTCTTTGTAGTACAGAAGATAGCATATTGGAGAATGGAGACAACCTACATTTTAGGCAGGATTTATAATACTCAAAATTCTCTAGAACACCCAGCTTCTCATAATGGGTGTTTCCATGTCCATTCAGAAGGAGGACATAGAGTTAATCCTTGCTATTTGTCAGAGAGCCTCTGGCCACATAAAAATCTTACAAGGTTTATACAGTTATCTATTCTTGAATTTCCATGAAGTTCAGAACCCACTAAGGCCAGAGATATGATTTGGATCCTATTCTTTTGACAAGGTAATCAAGAGTCTAGTGGTTTTTGTCTGGGTTTTAAAAACTGCTGATTATGAAGAAAGGGTCCATCCTCAATGAACTCTGTGCCTGCTGACACACAACTAGCCAGCCAGCATTCTCCCCTCAAGAGCTGAGAGCCTAAATTTGTTGTGGAGTATTAGTTGAAGATGTGTTACAAGTTATGCTGTGGAATATTTGTCTAATGATGCAAAGATGTGTTGTACTCTTTCATGTTGCATTCGTTTAACTCTGTGAAGCTGTATTACTTTGTCTATTTAAAACACCTGATTTGTCTAATAAAGAGATGAATGGCCAATAGCTGGACAGGAGAGGGATAGGTATGGCTGTCAGGCAGACAGAATAAATAGGAGAAAGGGAGGAAGGAGTAAGAAAGGAGGAGAGGAGGACAGCAGGGGCCAGCCACCTAGCCACAAAGCCAGATACGGAGTAAGAAGTAAAGAAAGGTATATAGAATAGAGAAAGGCAAAAAGTCCAGAGGCAAAATGTAAAAGAAGAGAAATATGATAGTTTAAGTTAGGGAAGCTGGCTAGAAACAAGCTAAGCTAAGGCCGGGCATTCATGAGAAAGAATAAATTTTTGTGTATTTATTTGGGAGCTGGGTGGTGGGCCCCCAAAGAGTAAATAGTAAAAACAACCAACTACATTAAATTATTTTTGGAGATGAGCATTGAGTCAGTCTGACTATTTGTGGTTAAAGGGGGTATAGAGTGGTTAGCCCCGTAGTCTTGCTATTTTTAGGCCTCAATGGATGATCAATAGAATTCAAACATTTGGCATTAAACTGATGCAACTGTGAATGAGAGGAAACAAAGTCAAGGCTGAAGTTAGGTACATAAGCTCCAAAGACTAATAGTGGCACTGAGAAAGTAGGCACAACCCATTTCCACCTCGAAGAACCAGCAATTCAATTTCAAAGCTATTTGCACAAAAGGATGGGGGAGTTTGACATACTTTTTTTAAACATTTTATTCTAAAATATAATTACATCATTTTCTCCCTTCCCTGGTCTCACTCCACCCCCTCCAGTGTGCCCCCTCCCCTTGCTCCCTCTCAATCCATGGCTGTATGCATGTATATATGTATGCATGTATGTATATGTGCATAAATTTTGCAACCTATTGAGTCTGTCCAGTGTTGCTTGTAGTATAATATTTCAGGGCTGACCATTTTGAACTGGACAACCAACCAAGGAGCTCATCCCCAGGGAAGAATATTGTCCTTCTTTGTTCTCAACATTCCTTGGTTCTCTGTAGTTCTCTGTTGAGGGTGGGCACTGTGAGATTTCCCACTTCCACATTAGAAAGTCTACTGGTATTGTCCTCATTTAGGCAGCTAAACTTCGAATCTGATTTTATAGAGCATGCAAGGGAGAATTACTCAAACTATATGTACATCATTCAACCTTGGTGTTAGAAAAAAAAAATGCCCTCTGAGCAGCAGTGGGGATATCCACATTCATATGGTTTTGTGTAATTGCTTTCCTCACTATTTAGACTGGAGAATGAAGAACAGACATTCATTTCAAATTTAAATGTCTGTACCATTTAAACCATTCTAAGTATATTAAGAGTTTCAATATGTTAAATGATGTTCTCTAGTTCTGTAGATGGTTTAAAAATGGAAGCTAGATAGTCATATCAAGGGAAGACACTCCAGGTCTAGAGATGCTGGTACATATTAGCAGGGTGATTTACAATTTTTTACCTGTTACTTTTACTCAAGGAAATTCTAGTATATTCTGTCAGCACATCCACCCTAGGCATGGCTATGTCTGCAGAGCCATTGGGTGCCCTTAGGAGACACCTGACTTCTTCCTGGCCTTGCGACCCACTCAGCAACAAAAGGGCTTTACTTAGGCTGAGATCTCTATGAAAGCTTACACAAACTTGAAAGTGGGCTATTTGGTAAGGAGGGATATTACCTTCTAGGCAACCTGCATCTGCTGGCAAAGCTTTCTGAAGGATAACTGTAGGATATGATGAGCACATTCTACCTTCCCAGAGGACCAAGGTTTCTAGGAATGAGGAAGACAGTATCTAGTTCCCAGAGATTGAGCTGTAGGCTGGGTGACTGGTGAACTAAGGAAAATGCATTATTTGAAGAAATCTCAGGAGGCCAAATTGAAAAATAATTTTAATGGCCAGAATGGGGATATTACCTGGTGACCAGGAGAGTGAGAAATGACCAGAATAGAAGAATTTAGTGACCAGGGATTGAAGTCTCTTGGCTTCAGGGTGCAGAGAATATTGTTTACAGTTAGGGAAAGCATGAGAGTTCTTTCCGGTTAGATCTGGGGTGTTTGTATTTGCTCCATCTGGTATACCAATGTCCCTGCTTGTGGTTTTATGGAAAGGCTGATGAGAACTGAATCATTGTCCTCTTCTGAAACCTGGCCTAGTTGGTTTTGTTCTGTATTATTATCAATTGCTCATTCTTTGGCTATGCTTCTGCCACATAGAAAGCCAAAAATCCACCTAAAAATAATTAAGGTCAGTTGATGGTCATTAGAGGTAGCCTTTA